TGAAATCAGGAAATGTCATCTGTTAAAAGAAGAGTTATTTACTAATGGAAAAAATGGCTTACTCTCATTTATGGTACAGATGAGTTTGGTAAGTGAAGTTTCCCGTGCTGATCCAAAGCAAAAGTAACTTCTGAAATTTCTGAGATTCACTCTTTCCTAAAATTTCAGCTGTGAACTTTCTTACAAATTAAAATAAATAAATAAATAAAAATAAAGTGATAACTCAGTGGTGAAGTTCAAAAGTGAGTATGTTTAGTACCTACTAAGAGAAGGCGAAAGTAACAGAAGGTCTATGTATTGGACTAGAACCACAGAAAATAAAAGAAAATGTCAGCCTGGGAGTGTGTGCTTGTCAGAGGCAAGAATTTTGTAATATGTACATATGACATACAATGTTTACCTAGAGAAGATCCCAGGTTTCCAGTGAAACTTTTCTCAGTTCAAGAAAAGCCCTCAGCTTTTAATATCAGAACTAATATTATATATGTGACCTTAAATATTCATTGAGTTTGCAGAGATTTCATCTTCCTTTGCATTTATCAAGAATTATTCATAATATGGCAGTTTCTGTCACAATTCAGACACATCAGCCCAAACACGTAGGAAAAGAAAAAAAAAAAAAAAAAGATAAAATGACAGCTAGAGTGATGGAATGGGGATAAGTGATAGTTTTAAAGAAACTGACTGTACGTCTATAATTTTCACTTTTAACACCTTATCTTTAAGCCATACTTCATTTAATATGTCTCCACAGCTCAATGTGAAGTGCATAATTTATTGAATGCTGACATTTTTGTAAGATTTATTTTGTTGTTTTGCAAGTCAAGTACAATCTTGCAACTCTAAGGCTTACATGTAAAATAATAATAATAATAAAAAACTTTGTGTTTACTGGAGCAGCGATCAAAACATGAACGTTATATGCCACATCTAGTTTAAAGCATAAATATGAATGTCCAATTTACCTAAAATCAAATCACTCATCCAGAAGGCACAACATCAAGGAGCTGTGATTAGATCTGACAAGCTAGCACAAGGCATCTGATAGGACAGTCAACAAAGCAATGAAAACTTGCTTTGCCTACTGCATTACTTTGTGCTTCCTGGTCAATATTTCTACCTTATTTTTTGAGGTGGTAGAGGTAGACAAAAGTATATTACAAAGATCTAGGTGGAAACTTGTACTGTTGAAGTTGACTATTTAATTCACATTCATCATCCATATTAAGTCTAGGAGGATAATGTTGTGTGCTTCTTATTTTCAGAATGCAGTTCCCCTAAGTCTCTTCAAAACCATAGACTAGAAATGTTTTTATATCAATAAAGTGATTAAGAATTCCTTAAAAGGGTGAGCCTCGTGGCTATTATAGCACACGTATCAAATTAAATGATGAAATAGAATTAAGAGACTACATTGTAAATGCCCCAAAAAACAGATTTGAAAATTATTTCTAATGTCAGGTGTACAATTCAAACCAAAGATCTAGACAGATAAGCTTACTTTACTACAACTTTTATTGATAATTACAGACTACATTTACAGACTGTAGTCCTTTCATATGAGGACTTTTAAAAATTGTTTTAATACCAAAAACATAAAGAAAATTGATATTAGATAATATGAAAAAAGAAAAAACAAAACAAAACCAAAAAAATCACATAAATAATGGATAATCAGTTGGAAATATTTTTGTGCAAAGGTGCAGCACACATTTTAAACAGAAGTTTGATGACAATCAATTAGTGGTACTGGCTACCTTATTCTTGTATATCTAATTTCAGATATCTTAACCGGTCCTGCATTTCAGAATGATCCTAAGTATCCTCCCCCTTTCATTATTAAGGTTCATTAAAGTCTGGCAGCCAAAACTGAGTTAGTCAAGTCATTTTGTTTAGCTTTGACATTTCAGCCTAAATAACGAGTAATAAGCATTCTGCAATGACAGATACACCATGAGATACAGATCTTTTAGATTAATGTAAAATTCCATAAATAAGGAAAAAAAAAAAAAAAAAAAAGGAAACCTCCGTTACTACCTTTGCCCTCTACACAAATGACTTAGAATAGGGTATGTGTTTGTGACACAAAATAGTACAGTAAAAGCTATAACCATTGTGTCAAACTGTCCAGATCCCAAAGGACACATGAGTAGAATGGAGAAGCAACAAGATGAGAAACACCAAGTCAGTTTCAGAGAACAAATTAAAAAATTAAAACCAATATTCTTTATTTTGTCTACTTTTTAACCACAGGTCACGCTTTACTAGAGACTGAATATGCAATTAACTATAATACTGCATAATAAAATGTGAATCCAATAATTTGAACAGCTTCAGCTGAACATTTCACATTCTGTATATTAAATATCAATATCTCAATACTAATTAGAAAAAAGTATTAGAAAAAAAAATGTTTTCTGTAGGAGACAATGAACATCTCAGCATCATGTTCTACTCCAATTCACTAATGTGATATAATTAATTAAATCCATATCATTCCTCAGAATGGACATTAACAATGGTCTGCTGAGCTATAGCTATTAATCTTAGATCATAGTCCGTGAAGAAATGACCTGAAGAGGTACTTTCATTAACAAGAACTTTTTACAAGTAATAGTTAAGATAGTGTATGCTAAGCAGGAGATAACACTAATGAATCTCATGTGTTCTGAATATTGATTTGTAATTTATACAAAGGAAAGATACTAGAAACTTAAGGGGAGAGAATTCAAACATTCAAATCAGAGGTTGTAATAGTTTTACACATCTTTCAGCACTTCATTTTTATTTTGCAATATATGTTTCTTATATAAGTCTTCAGATGTACTCTACAGAAGATAATAATCTTCAACACGTTATGATATGGCATCAAGATGTACAGATTTGTAAATACTGAGTTGACTCGCTTCTTTTCAATTACTACAAATACTTGTGAGGTCCTCAATCTGAACATTTGACCACATGCTTTCAATGTTTTTTTAGTTCTGTAGGTCTAATCTGAAACACTTTCTAGCCAGTTCTTTCGCAGCAGCATCTGTGAAAACCAGTCTCAGTCTGCACATTCAGCAGTGGGTATCTAAGGTCAGTGCTCTTTAAAACTTGTACCTTTTCAAATAAGCTTGTATTAAATATGTTTTCAAATTTGTTGCAAGGCAAAGCAATAATGAAATAATTGAATATATATATATATATATATATATATATCATTATAATGAAATAATCCTCTTGAAAGGACTGCACTCTAAATCTTCTTAATATATGTTACCACAAAAGATATACCAACCTCCAAATCCCAGCAACACACTGCCCACAGAACAGTCTACAGTTCCACAGAACAATTTTGGAGAAGGGAAGAGCATTTGAGAATTGGTAGGAGCAGAGAAAAATGTACATTTCCTCAACAACAACAACAAAAAAAACAGACGACACTGGTAACTTGAGTGAGCTACTCAAAGGAGTCTGTGCTGAGCTTTTGCTGTAGTATACTGAGGAAAGTTTTCAGCTTAAAGTGCAAGTATTGCACTGCACTGACATGCTGCCACAAAGCTGCTACAGTGTGGAGTAGTTGGGAACCATATGGACAGGTTCTGTCAGCTTTATTTCTGTCACTTAGTGCCAGGCTGTTTCATTGCTCAATGAAACCAAAGGGATTGTATGCATTAGAAAGTTTTACTCAGTGGCAAAAACATTTTGCTGTTTTTCCAAGAAGAACTGAAAGCCTGAATAGTGAAGTTTTAGCAAATAATCTAAAAATCTTTAAATTATCCCATAAAGCTCTTGTGTTTTGACAGATGCTTTAATATGTGCCATTTGATATTTCACATTTTTCTAATGCCATCAGTGTAATGTTGTACAAAGTATATGTGAATCATCTGATGGGACTAATGTACTGAGCAGAGGAAGTAAATCCAACTGTCTCTGGGGACTTAGGCTTGTTGTAGCATAAACCAGTTCATGTTGAACTTGAAACTAATGTTATTCCCCATTGTTCTGCCACATCACTTAGGGGCCTTCTATAATGTTTCTGCAGTTGAACAAAGGCATCATTAGAATAAAATCTGTGAGCATTTTAAAGGACGATTCTAAGATGATGAATGAGAATTTCCCTGTGGCAAAAAAGTAGTGACAGAGTAAGTATTGTCATGGGCCTTAAGTGTCTGAACAAGGTAATGAAATGAAAGATTTATGTTTCTCACATTTGTAATATTGTTCAGAAGCTTATGGATTTTTGCTACACTTACATACCAGGCAACGTCACATAATTAAACACCATCAACCTGACAAATTCCAAGAGCATTAAAACATGGTCATCTTAAAATCGCCTAGTTCTATTTTCAGTGAGAGCTCTAAATCCCTTTAGATACTGCTGAGAGCACAACCACTTTGACCCAGGTGTCTAACTTTTTGTCCAACAGCCTACATTTGAACTTTCTGTCCCATGTTCATGGTTTCATTTGGGAGCTCATATTTTTGACACATTTGCTGTGTTGAAAATAGGCGAGTTCTGATAGGGACACAAAAGTATAGACACAATAATGGATGGCACCTCTGTACAGGAAAACAGGGCTGGAATGTAATGCACACTTTCCTGGTGCACAGAATAATAGGAGGAAATCAGACTTGCCAACGAAAAGGGTCAGATGCAGAAAATGAGCTTGACTGTTTTGGCTGTGTTAGAGAGAATAAATAACTTTTAGCAGCCAGAAAATTATCAAAGGGCAGCCTGAATATCCAGTGCTCTCCTATGAGCAGCAGGAAGCCGCCACCATTATGTCCAGGCAGACAGGAACAGACTATGGTATTTTGTTGCCTGCAATGTATTACTTTGCCAGTACAGAGTCCTGTTTTACACCAAACTCCTACAGTATACTTGGTATACTGATATAGTTTCCCAGCAGATTTATTAGGTCAGTTCTTTCTAATAGTATATCTGAAGAAGGAGATACTTTCTGACTTGGAGAAACAGCTGAAAAAGATATGAGAAGATGATTTGACAGTACCTGTTTCCTCAAAAATGGTGACTAACAGTAGATGAACTTGCACTCCATTTCTACGTTTGATCCCATGGCTGTGCTTGGCTTATATTCTTCAAACGAGTTTGTTTGAATCCATTTCCTCCACACTACCTGGAAGAACAGAAGTCATATATCAAAACATTCTCCTGCACAGCTGTTCTCCTGCCTGCGAAGTCAGATGACCCACTCCAGACTTAAACTAGAAAGCACCAAATGTGGATGAAGTGAAACTAGATCCAAGCATAATCTCATGCCCTGAGTTTACACATCAGGGTAGATTCTGCTTATGGTTTTTGGCAAAGTCTGTGGGGAACGTATAAGCAAATGTGAAGAGCTGCTGCAGCAATTTCAGGAAGAGCTAATTTGAACTGTATTTTGCTGCTAAATCCATAATTGAAGAACAGAAGAAATATGCTCGGGCTGAAAAATAGTTGGCAGGTAATGTAAAGTGGTGAGCTCAGTATGCACTTGCAAGGATCCAAAATACTCCATCTACTCTGTAAACAGGCAGCAAATGTACAGTGTCATTGATCAACAGCCAAGATATAAATCACCACTCAGATGTATGTGCCTATTGATTAAATTTATGAGATTCACTGCTAAGGTGCAACTCATTTCATGGAAGAAGCTGACTGTTTGCCAGGTTTGCAATGTACTTATTACACCTCCTGGATTGGAAATATCATCATTAGAAGATATACATACACATATAAATATAGTTAAAGTTGATCATATAAGAAGGGATATCATATTTTACCACACTTACACTATATCTTGGAGAAAACTTTAGACCTTGCCACTTACACCTGAGAATTGTATACTAGATAAGACTTTTTCTGAGATTACAGGCATTTTCTTGCTGAAATATATGAAAAACCTCTTGTGCTGCCATTAAGCATAAACCTTTTCAACTGCTCTTTTACTTCTCTAGCAAGCATCCAACATTCATAAGTTGCTGCAAGCATCCTTGCCATGAAACAAAACTTTGAGGTCACAAGCACTCAGCAAAAGTTTCTTTATGTGCCTTTGGACAATTCTGATCTTGTGAGATTTTTTAACAATATGGCAACACTTGGGAGAGTGACACTGCAGCGGACCATGTGAAAAGTGGTATCTGGAATAAATTTACAGCAATTCCATCATCAGCTGCATCAACAGCAATTCTGGTACATAATTCAGATCTGTGGTTGCATTTATTTTCCATGCACACAAGGTAAGTCCCAGAGAACTTTACAGCATTACCAAAAATGTCACTGCCTTGCATCAGCCTAAGTAGTCAACTCAATGTGGTTTGTGTGTGTGCATGATGATTATATCTTATATTTTCCGTTTAAGTTATTGAAGTCATGATTACTGGGGGGAAAAAAAAAAAAAAATGCTTTGGATTATTCCACTCCACTATGTGAAAACCATGTGAAAACCATGATTGATGACATGGCTCCAAGGAATAAGCCTCAATGACATCTGCAGCACAGCTATGAGGTTACTAATAACCACAACCTGTGAATTGAGAAAGAAGCCCTTAAAAATGACTGCTGACAAACACAATAAAGAGATTTATGGATTGCCTACTTCAAGGGTGCCCATCCCTTGTGGAGTGAATGGCTTGTCTCATTCATTATGTTACCGTGATTACTGTGACATGAAAATGGTATTCTGCTTTTTTTTTTTTTTTCTCTTTCTTTTTAAGTCTATACTGAGTGAATATCAGGTACTCCCTTCCAGGGAAAATCATAAATATGAATCATGTAGACACAGAACATTCAGAGGTTTAAGCCCTTCATTCCCTTAATGTTTCAGGAAAACAGGATGTCTTTAGATCCCAACAAAAGGGATATCAGCTTATCAACAGCAGATTTTAGCAAGCCTATTATATGGCTATAAAGTCAAAGCCACTTTTAAATCCAATTATCTGCATTTTTACTGCCTTTATTCCTGCCAAGTTTTATACTAAATCATTGAGGGCTGATATCTCTAGTGTTAAATATCCTCAAACACTTCTCTTTGCACAGTGGCCAAGGTCTTCTCTCAAGTGTGTTGTTATGAAATACAGTCAGGAATAGACTACAAGACCCTGGACTACATACAGACAAGGACAGAAGGGTAGTGCCTGTGCCACACAGGAAAGAGTAAATATATTAAGGATAGAAAAGGCACAGTGGATCAAATATTTTAAAAGGAAGAAGTCCAGTTCACAGTCAAGGGTTATTCTCAGAACTACACAGGCCGTGTAACTGAGAAACCAGCACTGGCAGAACATCTTGCAGTCACCCCCAGCACCGACACTGTGACCTCCTGTTTGAATCTGGTGGATAGCCATAGAGCTGTGAAAACTAAAACTCAAAATAGATAAGTTTCTTACACAAGTCAAGGCTTCTCCAGTAATATCTCACTATCCAGTGAAGATGACAGGGAGACAATTGTTGAACCTGAACATCTAGCAATTCCTAAGGGATCTTCAACTGACACCAAACGGAAAAGGACCTTGCCCACCTCTGAAGACCTTTTCTGTCTGTGTTCCTGGGCCAAGACAGAAGGTGTATAGAGGGAATAATAATGGAAAAGTGCTGTGTTCCTAATTTATGTGAAACCAGCAACCTTCAATACTACTGAAACACTAGGGATTTCAAGTGGCCAACTGACACATTGTAAGTCTCAGTTAATAAGTGATCCTGTCAAGTCAGCCCGGCTCTCTGTCTACCTGGGGATTTTGCACTGCCACTCATTTGTGTAGCAGTGTGTACCTGCAGTGCTCTGTATACTGTATATAACATAAGTAGCATATACATATGCATACGTACATACAGCTCTGAATAAAGGGATGTGGGGCTGCTGGTTGGCAGTAGGCTCAGAATGAACCAGCAGTGTGCCCTAGTAGCCAAGAGGGCAAATCACATTTTAGGATGTGTTAGACATAGCACAGCCAGCCAGTGAAGAGAAGTGATTTTCCCACTGTTTTTAGCATTGCCACAGGTTAACCTGGAATATTGTGCACAGTTCTGGGCTCCACCAGATAAAAAGGATGTTAAGGTACTTGAAAGTGTCCAGAGGAGGGCAACAAAGCTGTCAAAAGCGCTGGGAGGCCTGTCCTGTGAGGGGAGGCTGAGGAAGCTGGGTTGTCCAGTCTGGACAGAAGGAGGCTGAGAGGTGGTCTCACTGCTCCCTGCAGCTCCCTGAGGAGGGGAGGCACAGAGGAAGGTGCCGGGCTCTGCTCCCTGGTCACTGATGGCAGGATGCCTGGGATTGGCACAGAGCTGAGCCAGGGAAGGTTCAGACTGGGCTTTAGGAAACATTTCTTTACCATGACGGTGGTCAAACACTGCAACAGGCTTCACAGAGCCTGACATGGTACACGAGACATTTGGACAATAACACGCTCAGTAACATGCTTTAACTTTTGGTTAGCCCTGTAGCAGTCAGGCATTTGGACATGCTGATCTTTGAAGGTCCCTTCCTATTGACCTACTCTAGTCTAGTCTAGATTTTCTATATAGCATACATATGTATACAACATCCATAACTGTACAACCTATGTGTTATTTGGCTGAAGAGGTTGTTTGCCTTAGCAGAGTCAGTATGTGTGGCCAGAATACAAGAAGGAAATACCTTCATATGCATATTTAAGCTAAAGAAGCTTATTCAGTTTTCATTTGCAAACACTGGTATCCTTCCTCTGGATTCTCCCTTTAGTTCCTGATGTTTGTTTTCCCAACTTCTGTCTAAAGATCATTTAGAGAGCATTTGTGAGTCAAACAATAGTCTACTTAGTTGCTAATCATCAAAAAGATATCAAAGGGTTACAGAGAAGGTTCAAATATGTATCTGAACTGGTTGCAGAAAAAGAAATCTCAAGCTGCAAGGCAGTCATAATGGAATGAAATAATTGAATTTCAACCTACCTCCCAGTGAGAGAGCTTGTAGATGTAAAATGTGACAAAATCATAAAAAATAAACTGCAAGCAACTGGAAGATGATGGTCTGCACTGTGGAAAGATGAGGAAATTAATATGTCTGGTGTACCCTGTGAAAAGATGGGTCTCACCTTGGGCTTTATTTTCAGAGCCTTCTTGTTGATGTAGACTGATTTGGGTCCATACCAGACTTTTCTTTTAGTGCCAGAGCCAATTAAGTGTGACTGTCTGTACTAAAAGTGATGAATGGGCAACACTGATATTTTACATTACTCAAAAGTCTGTGATTTTATTCATTTTGTGGGCCAGTATGGAGTCATTCCAACTGTAAGTATTTTCACAATAAATGCATATTTTCTTCATCAGCATCTACATAGCAGCCATTGTACTGTAGTTTCATAAACATTCTGTGGAAAAAAAAAAAATAGAGAAACTGCTAACCAAATTTACCTCACAAACTGATCACTCAGATATAAAGCAAAAGTAAATGAGTAATTGATCAGCCATTAAAAACAGGTTCACTGCTTAGAATATTATTATATCAGCATATGCCTACTGCACAAGTCAAAAGCTACTATGCACTTCCCTTCCTGCATTCATGGACCCAATGTCTCCAGTGTGTTTAGCAGTGCCAGCAGAAAATAACACCATTACTGCATTGCTCATCTCCACCTATCAGTGGCAGCTTGCGAGGTCCAACTCTATAGGTAGAAAGCCAAGCACATCTTAATCCATTACATATAAATTCATGAGTTGGTACTAACCCTGTTGGTGGACTTTTTAAACTGATGCTGCAGATTCTTCTAGGAGCTGACCAGGCTGTGACCATACCCTGTGCTCCCAGAACAGTGCCCTCCAGCGGAAGGGAGGTAACAAGCAAAGAGAGTGGAGAGAGGAGATAACGACTTGAGCAGACACCCCACTTTGCATAGGAAAATTCTGCCCACAGAGAGTGCCTGCTATCCCAACACTGCCACCAGTATTTGCATCTATATATTCCCCTATTTTTCTAAATAATAATAATAATATATCATTTATTCCTAAAACAATGCAGGTGTGCATACTTTCAGATGACAACTGATTGGCATACACAGAATCTTTTAAATTTAAAAGATCGTGAGCCTACAATAAAATTAGCATTTATCATATCAAGCATCTGAAAGAGCTGTTGTGATCACCTAAAGTCTTTATTTACTGAAACAGA